CAGGCTCGTTTGGTCCCTAGTGTGCTTTCTTTCCGTTCTTTTTTTCATTTTTTTTCTCCGTCTTGCACTTGTTTTTGTTTTCTTGTTCCCCACCCTTCAGTACTTTTGATGCCTTTGACTGCAAGCTCTTTTCAGAGTATTCTCTACGCACACACACACACACACACACACACACACACACACACACACACACACACACACACACACACACACACTGTTACATGCTGCGCCTGCATACGGGCCCCATTTGCGGGGCCCGGCGGTTGCTGAGGGGCCCCCAGGCCACATGCCAGCCAGCATGTGCCCTGGAGGCCCACGGCGGCCTTTTGGGCTGCAGGCACAGCCTGAGGCAGCACTCAGTTATTTATTTATTACTTACGCTGTCTTATTTTTTGTCTGTGCAGATGTCGTTTTGGACTTACAGGCCCCAAGGCGACGCCTTGGACCAGGTACACAGGGACGAGGCCTTTTTGAGGCCAGGTGCGTCTTGGCGCCTTGCTGCATCAGCAGCGTGGTCTGGATACCCGGTAGGGGCCCAGACCAAGTAGGCCGTTTTTGAGGCCAGTACCTGAGGATGCCCAGCAGGCCCAGCGCTACTTATAGCTGGGCTGAGGCTGGGCAGGGGACAGTTCGGGTAGCTCACTTCTTGAGCGATACACTGCTGGTTGGAGGCTGCGCTATTTTGGCGCTGCGCTGCAAGGCTGGGAAGGAGAGGCGTAGGAGGTAGAGAGAGGCGGATGCCATACCTGTAGTGGCGAACTTACCTGGCGCCATAGCTGGGGCTCCGCGCGGTACCTGCACAGGACGACCACGATGGTCAGGACGGCAGCAGTTACCTGCAGGTGAGGCAGCGAGGAGGGCGACATCTTCTTCTTCCTTCTCGCCCTCCATCTCGTCTCCCTCTCTCTTCATTCTTCCTCCTTTCTCCTCCTTCTTCATCTTCTTCTTCAGATACGAGAGTGAGAGAGATTACAGGCAGAGGATACAGGCAGAGGTTACTGTGGGCAGAGCGCCCAGGATCTGATCCGACATTTCTGAGGCAGACATTGATTGGACATCGGCAAGGGACTATTTTTGGACTTCGCTATTGCGATCTTGGTCTTCTCCCTCGCCTCCATCTTCGTCTCTCCTCTCCTCCCCGTCTCTCATCTGTGGTATCTCTCGATGTGCATGTACAAAGGAGGGACCTTTCTTCTATGTGTGTGGTCCCTCCTCCTCTCTCACATGTGTGACGAGGATGGGGTGTCGCGTCAGTCCCGGTCAGGTCAGGACTTATCTCAAAGTCTTCCACTGCGCTATTTTGTGCCATTTTGTATGTATCAGGGTGTACATTGCCTGTTGATGTTTCGCTAACATTGCATTGTCCATTCAGTCCTCTTCATCACATTTGCAAGGAACATGAGCATGCACGAAGCACAGAAATCCAGAATGCAAAATCACACTGAAGTCCAAGTAGTCCAAGCCAAAGCAGATAGTGCAATGGAACCAAGTAACCATCCAATTGAGAATGATACAGAAGAATCGTGAGTCAATGTCCATGCCCAACAGGGCAACACCAACAGCATAACCCAAATGTAGCTCTCTCTTGCGAATGGCGCCAGGCGCCCTATCTACTCTACAGCCTATCCTACAACTACAGCAATGAAAGCAACCAGACAACTTGACCAGGTACGTGTCCTCTTCCCCACACTCTCCCTTGTTACCCACACAGCGCCCTTCACCTCCGAAGACCACCTTCGCCCTTCACCCTCACTGCACCCTCATGCGGCCCGGCTATGGCCACCAGTGCCCTGGTGCACAGGCAGCGCCCTACCGCCTAGCGCTGGCCTGCCTTGCACCTCTCTTGGCGCAGCGCAGCAGCAGCAGCAGCTCGCATTTGCGCAGCGTGCCGGCATTGCCCGCAATGGCCAAGATCCCTGCCCACTCGCCCTGCTTGCCTATATGCCAGTGCAGCGTGTGGGCGGCCTCCCTTCAGCCTGTGACCGGGGCCCAGAGGCTGAACTCAGCCCGATACAGTTGGGCCCCGGGGCAATACAGTTGCRCCTCTTTCATCAAGGCCTGCGRCCAGATTCAGATAGTGGGCYGATTTCMCTTTGGCATTTTCGGCCTCTATACCCAGCATGCATTGTCGGCCTCACGTTCAAGTGCCCAGGGCCTAACTAACTCAGAGGCCCTGGGCTTTCAGCATTTGCTGAAATCCGAGACTCGGTGCACTCCAACCAACTGGCGTGCTGCAACTGTATGAACTCCACTTCGTGAAATGTTGGCACAGAGGGCTCTTGTGGATTTACTGGCCCGCCTTCACTTAGGGCGGGCACGAGGCTTGCTGGGGCCTTAGCCCAGAACATGTACAACATGGCAAGGCCCCTTCTTGAGGGCTCATTCCTCACATTCCATCCCCCTTAGCTTCGAAAGTCCGCTGAGATGCTTACTTCGCAGGTGCCTTCCCTTTCAGCTTCTTTCATATTCTGCCACCGCCTGAGGAGCTGTCTCAATCAGTTCCTCCTTGGTAAACCACCGATCTTCTTTGGGGTCCGTGTGATGCCTGAATCTGACACGATATTCTCTCTTGGGCTTAGGAGGTCTTCCTCGACCCAACGGCTTTGCAACAGGCATGTCCCGGTGATCCACAATGTCATCGATGTCGACTTGTCCATCCATGGTTGGGGGCAGCATCGATCTCCTGGAAGGGGATTGATCAGTCTCGGCGAAAGGTGCAAGCTTTGAGGCATGAAAGAGTGGGTGAGTGTGTAGGTGTCCAGGGACACGAATGACGTAGGTGGGACCATCCATCTCATCTCCCACTATATCTAGGACTTCCCAGGGACCAAAGTATTGAGGCATTAGTTTGCGAGAGACTCCGAATTCCTGTCCTAGCTCGCTAGCCTTGACCCAAACACGTTCCCCTACCTGAAATGTGGACTGTCTACGATGTTGATTCTCAGAAGCAATCATTGCTTGCTGAGCTTTCTTCATGTGCTCGACAGCTTCTTGAAGCAACTTCTCATACTGCACACCATATTCCAGTGTGCCTGGGGTTGCAGCAGGTCGGTTTTCAGGTAGGCGGAAGTCTAACGCGGATCTAGGCTTCCATCCCAAGTGTAGCTGGTTAGGACTCACACCGGTGCTGCTATGCACAGCATTGTTGTACAAACTGGCGATGAGTGGCAACTGCTCATCCCAATCATCTTGGTTGGGCTTGATGTAATGCCTCAGCAAGTGCTGTACAACTCTATTCATATGTTCGGCTTGTCCGTTGGCTTCGGGATGATTCCTTGAAGTCATCTGAAGTTGACTGCCCATTTGTTCCGCAGTCTTCTTCCATAGCTCACTTGTGAATCGGACGTCTCTATCACTAACGATAGTCTTTGGTAAACCAAAGTCCCGACCCAGTTGTCCTTGAACAACTTGATAACGTATTCTGTCCTAGCTGTCTCTGGCATTGGTATTAGTCTAGCGTACTTGGTGAATCGGTCGATGATGACGAAAATGTGCCTCTTAGCACTCTTGCTGCTCACTAGGGTGTCCATGAATTCCATGGAAACACTCAATCCTGGACCATCAGGAATAGGTAAGGGCTTTAACAACCCAAGCGGTGCTTGAGTTCGCGGCTTGTCCCACTGACAGACCTGACAGGTCTCCACATACTTCTTTGCGTCATCTAGCATTTTGGGCCACCAAAATCGTTGTACTAAGTTAGCACTCGTCTTCTTGTAGCCAAAGTGCCCAGTTGCGTCATGACATTCGCCTAAAAATAAACTACGCAACTGTTCACTAGATGGAACTACCAATCTCTGTATTCCGGCCTTATCAAGATAGAGTAGCCCGTCCACCATCACAAACTCACTTTCTGTGGCCTTGTCTTTTGTCTGAAGTTTGCGGATGATGTCCATCGTGGCAGGGTCTTCCTGATAGGCTCCCACCAATGATTGAGTTACTTCATTAGATACGCCAAAGTCAGAAACTAGCGCACCAAGGTAGTCTGCTCTACAGGATAGTGCGTATGCAACCTTGTTGTACTCTCCCTTCAGGTACTCAAGCTTGAAGTCATATTGATCTATGACCTCAATCCATCGCTCGAGTGCATCAGAAAGAGCCGGTTGAGTCTTGATCCATTTGAGGGTCTGATGATCAGTCCTCAGATAGAAGAACCTTACCAAAAGGAAGTGTCTCCAATGGACAAGTGCCTTATAGAGAGCATAGAGTTCCCTTTCGTAGGTGAATTTAGCCAACTTCTTCGATGGCATCTTCTTACTCATGTACTCAATCGGTCTCAACTTTTTCCCATCCTGCTGAGCCAGCACTGCGCCAATGTCGTATTGGCTTGCGTCAGTGGTTACTATGAATGGCTTCTGCGGATCGGGAACCATGAGAACCTCGTGATTCATGAGTGCATGCTTCAATTTCTTGAAAGCACCCTCGCACTCATCACTCCAGTCCCGCGGCGTGTCAAGTCGAGTTAGATCTGTCAAAGGAGAGGCGACTGTAGAATAGTTCTTAACGAAGTTCCTATAGTAGCCGCACATTCCTAAGAAAGATCTGACCTCAGTGACAGTCTGAGGTCGTGGCCAGTCTCGAATACTAGCCACCTTCGCATCTTCCGGCCTAATCCCTTCCGCGGATACTTCATGACCCAAGTATAGTATCTTAGTGCGGCCAAACTCGCACTTCTCTAAGTTGACCCTATACTTGTGCTGCCGAAGGAGTGAAAGTACCGTCTCAACATGTTGTGCATGCTCCTTGGCAGACTTACTAAAGATCAGAATGTCGTCTAGGTAGACCATGACAAAATTATCTAAATGGTCATGGAAGATCCGATTCATAGCGTGCTGGAATGTAACCGGCGCATTGCAAAGACCGAAAGGCATCACTACAAACTCATACAGACCGTATCTAATCTGAAAAGTTGTCTTGTGTTGGTCCTCAGGTCTTATTGCGATCTGGTGATATCCGGATTTCAAGTCTATCTTACTATAGTACTTGCATCCCTGCACCCTATCCAATAGGTCGTCTATGCTAGGTAGAGGTTTTGCGTTCTTCACAGTGATGGCATTGAGGCCTCTATAGTCAATGCACATCCTCAAAGTACCCCCCTTCTTCGGTACGAATAGAACGGGTGATCCGTAAGGGGAAGTACTAGGTCGAATCCAACCCTTCTCTGTCAGCTCCTTAAGTTGTCACCGAAGTTCATCTAACTCGGCGGGGGCCATCCTATAGATTCTTCCCTTTGGGGTTTTACTCCCTGGAATGATTTCTATAGCGTGGACGACTTCCCTTTCAACAACTCCTGTGGGCATCTTGAACAGATCAGGGAACTTAGCAACGACACGTTCTATCTCTGGGGGTGTTTTAACGGCCTCCCCCTTCTTAGAGACGTAAACAAGGTACATACCCTCCTCTTGGTTTTGCTTATAGTAATTGTAGAACGCTGATGCGCACAAGCAGCCATAGGTATCTATAATACTACTGGCCTTGAACTTGGTCAATCTGACAGTTCGGCCATCGGGCAACTTATGCTTGAGCAGCTTCTTATCCCAGTCGAACCGGGCCTTAGCAACTTCGAGGTAGTACATGCCTAATAACATGTCAAATGGCAAGTCGTCGCTAACCAAGAACGAGATCTTATGGTTAAGCTCACCTCCTCCATAGGAGAAGGTACA